TTGTAGGTCGTTAAGTTTTCATGGTACCTATTGCCGGCCACTTCTCAACATGTTGCAGGTACAGAGTAGTTTACTCTGTGTAACTGCAGGAATAGTACACCAGCTGGTAGGCAGTAAATCGGCTGCCTGCCTTACCTGCCAGCACGAGGTCTGCGTAACTGTACCCCGAGGCTTTGTCTGCACTGCGCTGGTGACTAACTGAATTCAGGCACCGTGTTTTCTCACGTGGTTTAGCAAGTTTGGTGCAGTTGGGATCGAGTCGAAAACACGCCTTTTAAAACAGTCAGCAGTGCTGATGTGGCTGGCCATGCTTACTAACAGGTTTGTCTAGAAATGTGTTTAAACAGAGTGTAAACCTTTATCCTGTTACGGTTTACAAGCAGGCTGACATACATTTGGTTCTTGCTTTGAACCCATTTCTCACACAAGTTCTGTTCACGTATACAGGATGAGCAAAACAGCAGCCACTCATTGGTGGAAACAAGTAAACATGATTTATCTAAACTGTTAAAAGCATGGGCTGTTTCGCATGGGATAAGTGTTTCAATTCACTTTGTTTTCTCTTTGGCAATGGCTCTGTACCAGATGTACTGGAGAAAGATGTAACAGCACGTGTAACGAGCTGTTACGGAACAGCTTTCCCACAGATGGATCTTCTCAACATGTCCTTTTCAGCAACAGTCTCCTAAAAGCAGTGTAAACTGTTAAGGGAAGGTACCCATAAACATTTAGGCATTACTGCATCACCTCCTGTCTGGTGAAAACGGTTTGTGTGCCCAGTTGAGGTATGAATATATTGAAGTATGAGTATATTGGTCTCCATTAGCACTCCCTGGAATGGCTCTACTGTCAAACAATCCCACGCTATCGCAGCCGGTGACCGGCTGTTACCACAAACATGAGGGCAGCTGCTTTGTGTAAGGTGATGGAGACTTGCTTTAGCTCGTATGGTTAAGGGTGGAAAGACTCCAGTTTGTGTTTCCTGGTCCAAATCCTGACTGAGGCTGTGAGTTATATTTGAAGTGACTATATTGGGTTACTTTAATAAAAAGATTTTTACGTATGAGCATCATTTGAAGAACAAAAGAATAAATAATAGCAATAAAGAATATGGAGCCCTTTGACCATTCCGTAACTCCCCAGCTGAGTCAGAAAAATTGTTACTAGTTAGCTGCTCACAAGTGTTTGTTAAGCATTTGGTATCCATTAGAAATCAGCTCGAGATCAGTACCTGGGTTGTAGTCAGAGTGCCACACAAAATACAGGCTGGAGCCCTTTTTTTCCAGACTTGGAGATGCCAATCATTGAAGAGTCACACAGCAAACTCCTCCCCAGGCATGTTTGCTGTGCTTGTTCTAGGGCTACTCTCTGTGGGCTTGTCATCCCATCCCAGCGCCTTTTGACAGGAGGTTTATTCCTGCTTTTATTCCCTTTGGGATGGTTGGGGAAATAACTGCCTTCATTCCTGCAAGCCCCTCTGCGATGCTCTGTGGTCATTTTTAAATCCTGAAAGTACTATTTTTAACTATTGTTGGATCTTGTGCTTATATCTTCTGGGTTAAAACCTCATGTTTCTAGATAAGCTTAACCTTTCTATAAATAAAGCAGTTCAAAAGAATGCTTATGAAATGGCTGACCTGCCACATTTACTTGTTGCTTTCCGGGCAGTAGACTGGGCATGAGATCATGGGAATTTACTGTTCTGCTTATGAAAGCTGAGCTGGTTGGAGAAGGATGCCATTGGTATTGGAATTGGTAGCTGACCACTTGAAGAGAAACCTCCTCTTTTAAAAAGTATCTGGTGGCCTCCAACTCAGCTAAGCTGTTGCCCAGCACATTCTTGAGCTCTTTGCTGCTGGAGTAGCCTCCCGCAGTGTGTTCTGGCCCCTAATTTACTTAAAAGATACTTTCCTGTGTCTTGTAAGTTGCAAAGTCTGGTGGCATCAGGCTTTTAGCCTCAAACAAGGTGGAAGAAAAGGACAAAGCTGTTGGTGAGTTCAAAGCTGGGGTCAGAGGTAAAGTCACTGCTGTGTATTTTTTCTTGAGGACTTTGGGGTATCACCTTTGTTACTGATGTTCCTTCCCTGTTTCTCTTACAAACCCGAGATGTGTGTGTTCTGGTGAGGTTACCCCCGCAGGGGAGAAGGGTGCGATGAGGTCAGGGCTGGTGATCATAAATAAATAAATATTTGGGATATCAGGATGAAGTTAAGGTGTCCTCCAACAAGAGAAGAATGCAGAAATCTAGGAGGGGCCAGAAGGGAAGGAACAGCAGGAAAGCGGTTTAGGAAAACCTGAGTCAGCTCAGTGCTGTTGAAGCCCATGGGAAATGGCTCTTGGACCATAGCGAAGATAGTGAGGAAGGAATGCCAGAAAGATTATTAAACTTGAATAAAAAGTCGTCAAGTGTATGCTTGCTGTGGCTCCCATCCACAGACTGCTGTACAGTTGGACTCTGTACAGTTTTGTATTTTGTTTAAAATAATGACACTTCATCTTTCATTTTCAGTAACCCATAACCATGAATTCATTTTTCATGATACAAAAATTTTACAGAAAAATTTTGGTTTGAGCGTGTTACCAATATATTTTTTCCACATCTGTCTGATACCTGAATTAGTTCACAGATTTATATCTAGCAGCAGCATGTCTTTATGTCACAAGTAAAATTAAAAGCAAACAAATTTAGGAAGGGTGACAAGTGCATTCTTGTTTCAGGGTTACAGGAACTAGGAGTGCCCTGTGTTTCATTTGTTACTGTAACAGAATCATCTTACTCATCTTCATCGGCTCCGTAGGTCTTGTTCTTAATAACCTTCCCGTGTCTCTGCAAGGCATTTCCAGAAGGGTGTTTGTGTGTGTTGAGGCGGAGCAGGACTTCTGAAGTTCTCCTTGCCTACCCAGTAAAAAAAAAAACTAATTTCTTTAGCAGACTTCTGAGTTCTGTTGCCACGAAACAGAGACATTTTGTCTGGTCGTCGTGGCAGCTGCATCTTGCTTTCTGGCAAAACCTTCCCCTGGTTCTGGGCTGTACTTTGCAGGCAGAGGTGGAAAGGGGCAGAAGGAGTAGAGTTTTGCAGCTGGGGTTGTGCCTCTTGGGCAGATCTTGTGCTGGGCAAGTCCCTGTGTCAGTCAGTCCCCGGGCAGCGCGGCAGTGGTACCACACCTCTCTTGCTTCATGGCCCACATACCACGCACTTGCTCTGTGTCAGGAATCCATGTTTGGTATCCCACATATCAACATTCACTTCAATTGAGGGGTCTGCTCTAGCCAAGTGTGTTGAAAGAATCTTGGGTTCAATTAAAAGAATTTAGGACTAGACGACTTGACGGTGTAATGAATTATTTTTTTTTTTCAGAATTGATTTTATCTGCCTGTCCCTACCTTCCTCTCAGGTGATTCTGGATGAGGGCAGGTACCAGACCATAAGCTATAAATTACAATGGGCTTTTAAAAAAAAAAAAAAAAAGATGTTTTTGGGGGCTTTCAGGTAGCTCCTGAGCATGTGGCTAGCAAAGGATGAAGGCTCTGCCCTCATTGGCCACATAAGGAGGGAAAAAGAACCACAACACAAAGGAAGGTGGTGGAAACTTGCCTTTGCATATGACCCAAAATGCATGTTAATCAATTGCAGGTGCTGTCAACCTGTGGGTTGTAAACAGAAATCAGGAAATTGCAACTGCACTGCCCTTCCTGTGTTGCTCAACGGCAGGGGAGAGGCAGCTGGGGAGGGAGAGAAGCTGGGGAGCCACCGCTCGGTGGCTTCTGCTGCAGGAGCAAGCAGCCGCGTCGCACGTCCGTCACTTTGCTAGCAGGTCTGGTGCGGGGCCAGGAGGGCTGTGGGGGTCGTCTTTGTTTCTGCGGCTCCCTCACTTCCAGTGTACACAAGCACATCTGTGCACATACGGTGGTGGTTAATTCTCCCCGCCCACCCCCTTGCAAAAGAAAAAGTGAGGTGCTTGCCTTGGCCCAAACAGCGCACGCCTGTTCTTAAAGGCTTTCTGGGGCTTTAGAGGCATGTATTTGGGGATAAATGATGGTACCGAGTGTCAGGTTTAAACAAAAAACACAAAGTATTTCAGGGGCTATACCAATCTAGATTTTAAGTTGGAAATCTTGGCTTGTTGCACAAGAGCCAGTAAAGCTCAGCTTACTAGTGGTGTGGCTTACTTAAAAGTCCAATAAAATGCGTGAGGTTACTTGGCTGGGTGGTGTAAGCTAGTGATCAGGGGCTCTGAAGAAGCCGAAGGCCATCTTTGTTAATGAAAGCCATCTTTGTTAATGAAAGCCCGCTTTGGTAGCTATTGTGTCTGGTTTAGAAGCACAACTGGAAATGGAGGGGGGAAAAAAAAGGGGGATTTTTTTTTTTTTTTTAGTAAAGAATGACGGGTGAGCACTTCTGCCTCTTGTAAAACACAGCTGACTCCTTGTTTGGTGCAGCGAAAAGAGTGAGCGCCTCTGGGGGAGAAGGCAGACTGTGATGTGGGAATAAGTGCCTTCATTTAAGGCTGTAAAAAGCAAATGAACTGATCAGTGCTGGTGGTAGCAAAAGTGGTTGTCAGATGTCTCGCTGGGTGGTGGGTGCTCCTGGCGAAGGGATGCTACAGGAGGCTTTATCTGCGAGAGTCAAACACCCTTGGCAGCCAGCACTGTGCGCTTGTTAATGGTGGAAGCATCTGCAGAATATTGACCTGAATTTATAATTTGTGTGCTGCTCCTCATAGGGGTTCAGGCCCTTGGTCTCCCTCCTCTGAACAAGTTTCCATGTTCTGAGTAGGGAAATTAAAGGAGTTTTGTGTGGTGGTAAGGTATTGGGAAACCAGGGTACCTGGAGGTGCCTCATATGAGGTGCCTTCCCAGTTATTTCTGATTCATTTATGCTATGCAGACATCTGTTTTCTGGCAGCTGTTGGACAGAAAGGTAATCAATGCAGTTGTCATCTGCAGTGAATTTGGTAGCAAGTTTCCTAGGTGAAATTATTTTCTTCCTCAGACTTGGATGGGGACCAGCAGGTGAGGAGAAGAGTGATTCACTCCAGAGAAGTGGGGATGCCCTCCCTGTCTGCCCCCTGGAAACTAAATGGGGGAGAACATTAGCTCTGCACAGCTGTGGCAGTAAAAATGATGAGTTGGTTGCTCAAAAATTGCTGTATGTGAACTAAATTCTTTGTTTGCCTCTTCCAGATCGTGTCTTGTCTCATGCTATGATTTCTATTTGCCTACACAAAATGTACCTTTACAGAAATGTTACAGTAGTTATCCTAAAATTAGAGCAAACTGTAGTTTTGCTGTTTTATGTGTGCATGTGTTGAAGAGAGAGTCTCTTGAAACTAAAACTTCCCTTGTTCTTCTAGACACAGTTGAGTCCATGCTTTCGGACTACGACATCCTTTCTCAGTCTAGCATCCAGCAACACTCGCTGAAGAAGAGGGACCTCCAGCCTGAGACACACGTAGAGAGGCTCTTAAGTTTTTCAGCCCTGCAAAGGTAATTAAATCATCAGCAATGAAATAGCATAATGTTTTCCTTCAGTTTGTGACGAATAATGCACAGTTCCAAACCCAGAAATAGTTATCTTGTTTTCTGTCATGACTGGCCAGTTCTTCTAAGCGATCTGCATGGCTGTATGACTTCAGAGAGGCTCAGAGAAAACAGAAAAATAAGTTGTGTTGTATTACTTTGCTGAAATGGCAGTGATTTAAGATGTCTTTTGCTTTGTTCTTAGTTTCATGTAGGTTACTTCCACTGGTTGGGTTGGATCCCACTTGTGCCTCATCTGGCAACATTGTCATGCTTCTTGACTGTCATCTGGTTCTTCAAAATCTCTGCCTTCAGTTTGGGGAGTGCATGTGGTGTGTAGCCCAAGAGATTTATTGTATTTTTTTTTTTTTCATGGAGGTTTAATCCTCTTCCTACAGAGTGTCAATTTCCCATTCAATAAGACACTTCTAATAATTTTTTTCTAAGACAGGAAATAGAAGTACAGGTGAAAGGGGAAGGAGAGGTAGAAGAGAGCAGGCATGAAGGTTGTAGGGATTTTATTCTGAGCGTCAGAAAAGTGCCTTAGAGGTATTTGGGTGCTGAAATAGTGAATCTGAAATGGGGGAGCAGGGTGAGAATAATGGTTTGTATTAACAAGTGTAGGATGTTCATCTGACATCTTTGTCTACTGTGTTGTCATGTGCCTTCCCCATCTGTCATCTACAACTACAACTGTCATACAAGTTGTGTGTATTTTTTGAATCTCTAAATATTTGGAGGGGATAGTTTTTAAGTAGCAAGTTTAAAAGGTTAATGGGTTCAAATGTCTGGCTGTCCCTGTTTTGCACCGTCTCGTGCACCCTGACTTTATGGTGAGGTTGCAATGCTGCCGATGATAATTACAGAATAATTGCAGAGGGGCATACCAGAAATCTTTGACCAAAGCCCCTATAAACCAAGAGCCCACGAGGCTCCTTCCAAAGAAAGTTCTCTACTTAATTCTTGGGATAGCCTTTAGGTTTTGTGACAATGTATCATAAAAATCTATAGAGTTCAGATTTCTGTTTATCGTCTTCTGACTGTATTATTTCAGAAAATAAGAACTTTAAGATAATTTAATTCAAAATAGATTAACAAATTCCCTAGTCTTATTTTCTTCAAATAGTTACCAGTAACTGGTTTTGCTTAACTGCAAATGGAGAAGGTGCATCATGAGCAAACTGTGACTGTTTTGGATTTGGGGGGTTATTTTTAATTTTTTTAATTAAACATCTTTGACTCTTTAAAAATATTTATAGTTATGAATTACACAGTGTATGTTTTTGTAGCCTGCTTATCAGAATTAATGGTTTCTAACTTGTTTCAGACCCTCGGTAAAATGGAGACTGGATGTATCTGTTATGTGTATACTTTGCTTAAAAATAAATGGAAGTAAATTCTTTTACAGGCACTTTAAATTATACTTAACTGCAACTGCTGAACACTTTTCAGAAAAATTTCAAGCATTGATTGTGGATGGTGAAGGCAAGGAAAAGGAATATCGTGTTCAATGGCAAGATTTTTTCACCGGACATGTTGTTGGTTAGTATGGACTAGACTATGTTGTCAGTGCTGAGAACACAGCTTTGCACGAGTTTCTTGGCCAGAGTAAATGGTGTATTGCCCTAATTTTCATCCGTTACAGTCAGGATGAACAAGTAAACTTAATTCTCATGCCCCTTGCATTTCCTGGTTTTGTTTTTGTGGTGGGTTTGGTGTTTTGGTGTTTTTTGTTTTGTGGGGTTTTTTTTGGTTTTTTTCTTTTTTTCAGGTTTGGTGGGTAGTGGGGTTTTTTTGAGCTATTGCACTGAGGTTGTAAGATAGGACTCTTCTGTTTAGTTTGGCAGAACACAAAGGTATAATTTACTCAAGCAGCAGCTTGTAATTTTTAAATTTTTTTTTTTAAATGATGATGGTGGCTTTAATTCCACCTGGAATGTAGGACTTGAATGTTCCTTGTCCCAGAACACAAAGCCCAGGTAGTTAGTGGTGATGCAGGATTCCCCAGATTGTTAAATTAAAGACTTTAAGACAGTTCTTTGCAGACTACTTTTTTGTAAAGAAAGGGTATCTTGCTCCGCTTCAGTCCAACACCAATGCTTCCGCTAAGTTGTTTCGATTTTTTTTCGTTGCCTTTGTGATGTGGTGAAAGTCTTTTCCACTGGAATGCAGGCTGACGCCATGAAACTGCTGTCTGATATTAGTAGTAAGACGCAAGCTGCGTTTGTTGGCAGAAATACTCTGTGTCCCATTACTAATCCCCACATTCATCTCAACACCTTCTGCAAAATCTGAGTCTTGATGACTATGACCATTGAGAAGTCAAGGTTGGGGAGGGGTGCTGGTTCATTTCTTTTTTGTCTTTTTTTTTTTTTTTTCTTTGAACTGGACATCACAGTGTTCTTCAGGGACTGAGGAAGGTTAATTTGGCTTGAAGTTTAAAAACAGCTAAAAAGACCCCAGTGTCTGTGCAGGAGTGCATGCAAATGGAGCTGAATTAATTTTATTTTTCTTTGTTTATGTTAAAGGAGAGCATAATTCCAAGGTTGTGGCACATATTGGGGATGAAGACTTTACAGTGAGAATCAGTAGCGATGGTGAAGAATACAATATAGAGGTACGCTTTACTGTTGAAAGAGATGTTCAGACAGTCATCTCTTTTTCCCTGTGGGTGTTTCTAGTTAGTTAGATTGACACCTCTGTAGCTCAGAATAGACTTGGTGGTGGTGTTTGTTTTTGGTGTGAGGAGGGAGAGAAATGTGAAACGAGTTTGACTTTTGCAAGTGTTGAGTGTTATTAGTGAGTGACACTCTCTGACATTTGCATGTTTTAGATACATCAGGTAGAAGGTATGTTTTAACCAGCAAAGGGTTTTAGAAACAGAAATGGTATAATGTTAGTAATTAGTGGTGATCTTGTCCTCTAGAATAGCAAACTGTGTAGCCTTCTGAACAGAGTTGAGGTCTGTTTTGCTTTCTAAAATTTTGGCTTTGTTACATCTTGGAATTTTTCCCATTCTTAGAGCTCTGTTTGAAAATATGGTATTTTTTGCCCTGCTCCCTTGTTTCTGTTTTTCACCATTTTCATTGCTTGTGTTATTTTAAAATATCAGTTTAAAAAAAAATTCAACAAATACATAATTAGAGACTATCCTAATGAGTTGTTCAGTGCAGTATATTCCCAGACACAAGCTCTATTAGAATGGCTAAATAACAGTAATTATGGCTGACTGTTATATGGATATTGTAATTGTCTTCAAACCCAAGGATATGCAGAATTATGGGTAAGCCTGGGAAATCCAGTCATGTTTAAGTAGGAAAATATGGTTGGAGTACGCAAAAAGCTGTGCTTGTGTTTTGCATTAAGAGCATATAGCAGCCATTTGATTGTGGTTTAAAGCATTTTTGTGTTTGTGGTCCAGGGTAATGTAAGCACGTCTCAGTTCCCGCACAGCCAGCCCCTTTGCTCCTCCATGGCTGCGGCTGTACAGCTAAATAAAGGCAGGCAACGGCTTGGAGGCTCTGGCTTGTCCACGCTGCCTTGCTGTTAGCATCCCAGGGTCAGCTTCAGCTCCTAACCAGCCCTGGATGAGATGATGCCTGTGTGCAGTCAGAGATGGTTTGTGCCAGAGACCATTTCTGAAAGGCAGCATGGATAAAGCCTCTCCCCTGCTGCCTTCCTTTGCTTTCGTGGTCCTCCTGCACCATTCAGAAAGGTTGTGGACCTTCGTATACATCCCTGGTGCCACTGTGCGGTGCCCTAGGGTGCAAAACGTGTGCCCTCAGTTTTGCACTGTAGACATGGCTGCAGGGCCAGCACAGCCTTTGCATTTCAGGACCTTTTTGCTGTGAACCAAAAGCACAGTATGCTAAATTATAGTTGTCTGAAGTTGAAAGACCGCTGCCTAAGGGCCAGAGGAGACCCAGACCCAAGTGCTCTGCAGTGTGGACATGGGCAGTCTGTACTACTTGGCCTTGTCCAAAGAACGGACCCCATCCGTGTTGTATTTGGTGGGGTTGCTGTAGCTGTTATGTACAGGTAATAACAGGAATGTGTTGGTAAAAAAAAAAAAGGTCATTATGCATCTGCTATGGGAATTAGGAAAACCATAGGACTTCATGGTTTTCTTGTTTTCTTTGCTTTTGGAGAAATTTTGATGATTATAAGTGACTTGAGTAGCTATTGAACGTTGAAGAGCCTGCCTTCTGCTGCAGAGGCTGCGTTATGCTGTGCACTTAGATATTCTCTGTTACCTGCCAGCTCCTGTGCTTCTGGTCAGTGCGTTTGTTAGGGTGGTCTAAGCATCTCCTCCCTGGCTGTGCCAGTCACCATACTCTTATGGAGGGAGTGGAGGAGCCTGAGATACCTTCTCAGCTTGCTTATGTTCTGGAGGGGAAGAAAAATTCTGTCTCTTCTACAGCCTTACCAGGTGACTGCCGCTGCTCTGTTGAGATGATCTTAGATTTTTGGATGCCTGTGTGACATCAGAGTTGAGTTCTGTTGGCATTCTTGAGGACATCGTTTTATCGGTAGAATTATTGCTGTGGGTATAGTACATAACATATACTATATTGTAGTCCAATGTATCTTTTTGTGTGTACACATAAAGCTGTGGAGATTTGATGGCACATAAATAAAATTTTTTACTTATATAGAACTTAGTCTTTGCATTCACTGTGTTCCTAACCGCTTTTCTGTTCTTCTTATGCTATCAGCCACTGTGGAGATTTATAGATAATGTGCAAGATGAAAGACTGCTAGTCTACAGATCTGAAGATATTAAAGATTTCTCACGATTGCAGTCCCCCAAAGTGTGTGGTTATTTAAAGCTGAACGAAGAAGAACTGTTGCCAAAAGGACTGGAAGACAAGAAACAAAACGAAGGTGAGTGTCTGTAACTTGGGAGAGCATCATCTTTGAAAGTAATGCTTGGAATTCTGGCTGTGTAGGCAAGCAAGATCAGAACCTGGGCAATAATCTAAACTACTTCTAGTGTAATAATCTAAAACTACTTCTAGTGTAACTATTAAAGCAGCATTCCTCTTCATGCCTGCTCCTCATCCAAAAAAGCTCCAAAAACTGATGGAAGAAACTATCACTAGGGGCATGTTTCTTCCTGGTGTGTTGAAAGAATGATTGGCCCTACCAAAGCATAGGCCAAGGAGAGGAAGCTATTTCATCAGGTCTAAGTAGTGTTTGTTGTGATAGCTGGCAGCAAGGTAGGTGAACATTAAAACAACTTCATACTTTTGTGCACTGTGCAGCAGGACCTGTTTGGCCTCGGTGGTCATTCTAAGAATCAATTTTGAGGTGTGGTGGGTTTTTGAGAGCTTTGGGTCCCTCTTTCCTCTGTCCTCAGCTGTGGCAGCAGAGATGGGGATAATGACTAGGAACAGGAGGAAGAGAGGTGTTAAGGCTGAGATGATGACCATAAAAGCTCTAGGTAAACCTGTTGAATAGCTCGATTTCACTCGTATACATTCCTTTACTTACAACAACTTTAAGGACTGTTATGAAGACAAAACTTAAGAATAATTATTTAAAAAAAAATCAACAAAGACCAAACCCCAAACCAAACATCCCCCACTCCCCCCAAAAATCCACCCAAACTCACATTCATGTCTTAAATAAGGGTAATAGACACAACATTGGCAATTCTATTGGGTGTTCATTTACTTGTATTTAAAATTTTCACATTAGCAAGCATCCATCGGAAGAAAAGAGCTGTTCCAGAGAACTCCAAAAACACGTGCAAGATGTTGGTAGTGGCAGATCATCGTTTTTTCAAGTATATGGGCCGTGGGGAAGAAAGTACTACTATAAACTATTTGGTAAGTAAATATACCCTGTTAAAGTTTGCTGGAGTAAATGGAGGGAAAAAGTAGTGATTCAGTAGTTAAAACAACATACAGCTTATCCTACTTTTCTACAAGGTATGTATTTACATCATGACTGTATGTGCTTTTTACCTGGAAAAGGGTGAAATCATGCTTTAAAAATACTTTCTAATGGTGATCATGTACTTAAATAGTCTTCAAGTTTCATTTATAAACAGATCCTTTCCCTTCACATACTTCTTATGGCTATGCTATTTTCTGCCTAAGAAGTGTTCTTTTTCCAATCAGAGCTTTAGAGTCTCCTGGATTTTGAACTCCACTGCAAATGATCCAGGCATCTTTAAAGTTCAAGCATGTTTAAAGCTTATATTAGAGGCAAAAGTGACTTGTATGCTGGTTTTGGGGTTTGTTTTTGTTTAAATTCTTCCAGGATTCTCTGTCCAGAACAATAAAACTGAAGCAGGTCTGGTAAACAATTTGGTTGTACATGGGTGTTGTGGGTTAACCCTGGCAGGCAGCTTGGTCCCACCCAGCCACTTGCTCACCCCTCCCTGGTGGGATGGGGGAGAGAATCTGAAGGGTAAAGGTGAGACAACTCATGGGTTGAGATAAAACCACTTTAATAGGCAAAGCAAAAGTTGTGTGCACAGCAAAGCAAGGAATTCATTCCCTGCTTCCCATCACAGGCAGGTGTTCAGCTGTCCTCAGGAAAGCAGGGCTCCATCACGTGTACTAGTTACCAAGTAACCCAGCCAAAACTAGTACAGTGGGGTTGTCTACCTGACAAGATTTTTTTGAAATAGAACGCCTACCCACAGCACTTCTGCTAAAAAGCAGAAGTGGAGAGTATGGGTTTGGGGACTCAAGACAAAAACAAATGAAAACGCTTTTGGAGGCCTGTTTGTCAAGAGTCTCTTTTTGAGCCTGAATCTTTGAAATGCTAATCACTCTGTTCCATCTTTGCTGGCTTTTTGACCTTTCTGTCCCAGAAATGTTTACATTCCCCAGGCAATGGAGCCTCTATTTGTGCTATTATCTCAGCATCTGACACGTAGACTCTTCCAGGATAATCTACTGTTGTGTTCCCTGGGTAGATGTGTACTGTAAACAACACTGATTGGAAAACTAAAGCATAAACTGTTACGAAGTGGCTCTGAATGTCACTTTTCATTCTGAGTAGGTTTGATGTTTTATGTTTAGTAGAAGGTGGTTTTTAAGAAGATGAGAACAGCATGAAAAGGGAGGTATTGATAGTGAGCACTGACGAGAGACTTTCTGGAACCCTGTGCTTGAACCATAATGAGGAAAATAATAGGTTTTTGGCTGGGAGAGGGTAGCAGGCCTCAGGGGTCAGTTAAACTAGTTAAGCATCGTGCTAAAACAAAGCAGTAAAAATAACTCCCTCTTCTGCCCTTCCCTTCAAAGAAACCTGGAAAACTAGTATATGAACAAAGCGTTTCCCAAGATGTCTTGTTCTTAATATTACTGGTCTTCCACTACACTGATGAAAGTGATAAATGGGAAATTTTGCACTGCTTTTTTATGATGGAAAATTTTCAGGGATATTTGATAATACTCTGTGGATCCAAGTGCTGTTAGTTTTGGATCAGTGAGTAGGTCTGTTATGTTATATGAGGTTCAATTTTAATTTGAAGTGAGTGTTTGTAGATAAGTATGTTACAGCTTCTCTAAGTGTCTTCAACTTTATTACATGAAAGCTCAGAACTAATAACTCATTTTTCTTTTCTACATAGATTGAATTGATAGACAGAGTAGATGACATCTACCGAAATACTTCCTGGGACGATGGAGCCTTCAATGGGTACGGCATACAGATAGAGCAGGTATTCACTGAACTATGCAAAGGGTTTCTAATTTAAAGGATATGTTACGGACGTGTTTCGGATATCAAGGTTTCTGATTATTTCATCTGGATTAGAGATAAAGTAATCACCACCAGAGGTGGTGTTAACGATTTGACACAGCATGACACAGCATGCTTTTGAGATGGGAGTTTTCAGGGAGAATCTCTCTATATTTAACCTCAATTCAAAGGTGTTTTTTTCCAGAATATGAGCAATTCTTGTTTGTCAGACATACTCTGAGGCATCTATTTAAAGTTTGTATCTATGGCTAGTGCAAAGCTTACAGAGCCTGAATGGGCCCCAAACACAGATGAAAAAAACACAAATCCTGCCTGAAGAGCTGTAATAGATCCCCTTGGGCATCACGATAGCGTAGAGGCTGATACAGGGTGGACACACAGGATGTAGTGACTACAATTTATGTGACAGCTCCTGAAAGTTAGTGCACAGAAATCCAGAAAAGAGCATTAAAAAGAGGAAGAATCCTTTGGCTTGGAACACTGCAATAGCTGTGATGTGAAACATGGGATCTCATGATACAAGCTTGCTGCCCCTTTGCTGGGAAAAGGTCTGCAGGAACAAGGAAGGAGAGTTGATTGGGCCAGGAGGGGGAAAGAACATGATGCACTAATTCTAGGTTACTGGGAAAGTAGCAATCCTTCAAAGTATGTTTTGGTTAGCTAGAACTCTGAAATGGTTTGGAGTTATTTATACTAGATGTAAATCCTGGTTGTATTTGGGTGGTCTTTTTTGACAGAGTAACATGCATCTCCAAGCAGAATGTTACAGTGAAAAGTGTTGACGTTGCTCTATAAAGTGGCTTGTGTAGTTGCTCATGATGTAGTTGGTGTATCTTAACTAGCAGAGGCTGGAAAGTTGACATTAGAAGCATGCTGAGTCTGAATTTTTCTTCTTGCAGATCTATTGAGACATTTAAGATTACATTGAAAGCTTTTGTATAGCTGTAAAATTGATCAAAATTCCTCTACATTGTTGTTGCCCTTTCTGAAATGTAGATTATCATCCACAATGAGCCAAATCTTGTAAAACCTGGAGAAAAGCATTACAATATGGCAAAAAGTTACCCAGATGATAAGAAAGATGCCTGGGATGTGAAAATGCTGCTAGAGGTAAGTTGTAACCTTTGGAAAATTGTGCCCCTTACAAAGAATTAGTCATACAGCTGCTCTGTAGTAACAGATGAAACTCCTCCACTTCCTTCGCATGATGTGTAGATGTTACGCAAAGTCAAACTAGCTGATATGCCCTGTAGCCCACGGTAAAGGGCTCCATTGCATAATTATAGAGCACACACCAATCTGAATTATTAATATGTGGCCTGAGTCAGAAAGGCAGTCCTGATATGTCTGGCCCTGAGACTGGCTGCCCTGTGACCTTCATCAAATTATTGTACTTGCTTTCCCCCTCTCTGTTGGAAAGGGGAAATGAATAGACAAGTTATGTAAATGAATGTGTACAATGTGCTTGTGTATACATTTAATTTTCTGCAGCTCCGTAGGGTAGATAACAGCTGCTTTTTTCTGACTTAACCAGATCTAGAAGGTGCCTGTCTGGCTCATTAGATAAATGTTCTTATCTATAGACTTCTAATGCGCACCTTAAGATGTCTTACAAAGATTTGACTTTTTTTTTTTTTTTTAAAGCAATTTAGCTTTGATATTGCTGAGAAAGCAGCTCACGTGTGCCTTGCTCATCTCTTCACGTATCAAGATTTTGACATGGGAACGCTTGGACTGGCTTATGTTGGCTCTCCCAGACCTAACAGCCATGGTGGCATTTGTCCTAAAGGCAAGGCTTCCTTCTCTTCCCTTCCCTCTCAGTTGTGGGCTGAAAGCTAGTTTTTGTTATTTGTGTTTAATCCAACTTCAACGGAGCATGATGTGTTATTTGCATAGACTCTAGTGGTTGGTTTTCAGATAGAATAAATGGCCGTTTTCTTGGCTGGAGCTGGAAAAAGAAGGGAAGGAAGGATAAAAGTTACTAAGCTATCTGGTGTGAACAAGCTGGCTGGACCAAGCCCTAGACCAAAGGCTGCTTTGTGTGGGTGCATCTTGCAGCGGTTCTGGAATGGCAGATGCTGTTGTCTTGGAAATCTCTTATGTATTGCAGTAAAGGGGAAAATATGAGCTGTTTGTGCTGTGCTTGAAAGATTCCCCAATCCAAAAACTGGCAAGAGACAGGGTCTCACTGGTGAGCCTGTGGGAACAATAAAGCTGTTCATACCCCCAAACAAGTATCCCTCTCTCCCCCAAAAAACCCCGAAACCCAAGAAAAATGTTTGGCAATTTTGATTTGTTTCTTTGTCACTTTTATAGCTTACTATAGTCAAACTGCAAAGAAGGACATCTATCTGAACAGTGGCTTAACCAGCACCAAGAACTACGGAAAGACCATCCTCACAAAGGTAGGAGAGTGTTCTCCTCTGCAGAATGTGAACGTTCGGTGTACGTACGTGTGTGTTGGTGATGTGCACCACGGGGTTGTGACAAGCTTCTGTGCTCTCTCAAGAACAAGCTGCTGGCTTTCTGATTGAGTCAGATTCCTGGAGACAAGGATGTAGGTCTACAAAACCAAAGTCATAGTTTTTGTCCTTACTGACAAGGGGAGTCAGGACTGAATGGAGTTGAAGGTTGAATTCCCTGGGGAACAGTGATGGAAACGTAGCCAGTGTCTAATAGCAGCTGTCGTTGCTCAGATATAAACAGGATTTTGATATCCAAAGATGAATTTAAATGTATTTTGCTTTTAAAAAAATCCAAACAAACCCTTAACAGAACAAGCAAATATTATACAACAAAGTAAACTTACAATAAGAATAAAATTACTCTGCTGACTCAAATAAGAAAAAACTGACATGTTTGCTATTATGTCCATCTACAATGTGCAGATGGACGATTGTGTACACTTGGTCTGTTCCATTTGCAAGGTGAAGCAGTGAAAGTGGTGCAGGCAAAGTAGGCGGTTTAGTTTGGGCTTTTTGGTGAAATTTCTCTACCTGATTTTGTGTGTGTGTGTGTCCTGAATAAGTAGAGCAGAGAACGGTGCATTAGGCAGGGCTTACTCGGCCTAATACAAAACCTAATGTAAATTGATGGTGTCTGGATTTTTTTTTTTTCATACTTGATGAGATAGTAAATACATAAAGGCCTGAGTATGAGCTTTGTCTCACTTGTAAAGATACCAGAGCAGTGTCTGCATTTGCATCTACCAAATCTTTGCAGTTGGGCATATTTCTCTTTTGCTGACTTCTGCTAACTTCTCAGCTGTGCTTTTCTGTAGCCTGATTATAAATGGAATTCATAATTGATGTGTGGGCTAAAACTTGGCACAGAAGCTGTCAAGCAGCTAGAAGTAAAAAGACAGTGAAGCTTTGTGTGAGAGGGATGTTGACAAAGAGCTCTAGCTGTTGCCATGCTATTTGCATTTGTTGTTCAGTCTCCAAGCTGGAGTTCTGCCTTGGATTACAAAGGAAAACTGAGTTTTCTGTCTTCCCGGTAGCAGTCACAAAGCTTGGGACAAGGCAGCGAGCGTGTTATGGATTGGTTTAAATTGGGAGAGTGTCGCATGGTGTCCACTTGGATTTTGAAAGACACACAAAAAAAAAAAAACCCAAACCACTACTTAAAACCCTTCCCCAGATTAAATATGATGAAGCACAGGAGCGATCTCTGGGCAGCTCTCCTGTCTCTGGCTCCTGCATCAGCTGTGCCTACACTGGGTACTGGTGCTGCTCCTCCTTCCTGGGCCTGCACAGCAGCTGAGGCAGCGGTTAGCACCTCGTGCTTGCATCTCTCTCTTGTGAACTGCTCAGCCTCCATGTGGTTAACTTTAATTTCTGTGCCAGTTTTATTTTGTGGTTGTCACCTTGTGAGCTCGACACCATCTGCTGGTCAAGGCGCTGCCGGGAGGCACATGGTGAGACAGAGCCAGTTTGGGATCCTCAGCAGAGGGAGTCCCGTCTTGCATAAACACTGTTGGAAATCCATCCCTGTTGGGACACGTTTGTAGGTGTCTTTCCTAGTCGTCGTGCAATAGAAGAGCTTACGCAGCGCTCCCAGTGTCATCATCCATTGAGAAATAATTCTAATGGCAAGATAAGTTAAAAAAGAGATTGACTAATCATAGTAGCTGGTGTTTGTTTGGATTGGTTTTTGTTTCAACTTTTTATGCCTCCCAGCTATCTAAAAGCTGATTTTGGTATTTTAAGTATCTGCACTGCATTGAAAACAAGATTGGATCAGTATTCTAGGACAGCATTTTGCCTTTAACAGTGGTTTAGTATTCAGACCTAGTCCTGGAACTTGCCTTTGGAAATGCACCATAATTTTACTTGCCTTTAGTTGCCTGTTTCTAATACAGAAATGTTCACAGGGAAATCACTTTACATCTCAGCGTATCTTAGAATTGCCAGTGGCCTGGAAGTAGCTGGGGTCTTCTGTGCTGTCCTGCTCAGACTAATTTTTTTCAGCATTGCTCTTTTCATGTTCTAAAAAGGAGGCTGACCTGGTTACGACGCATGAACTGGGACATAACTTTGGAGCAGAGCATGATCCTGATAGTCTGCCAGAATGTGCCCCCACTGAAGACCAGGGAGGGAAATACGTTATGTATCCAATTGCTGTCAGCGGAGATCATGAAAACAATAAGGTATAGTTGCATGGTTTTGCTTCCATGTACAACTTTTTGCTCTGGTCAACGACCCTTTGCATGGAAAGTCTATTTAGTTAATGATTCCTGTAGCTTGAAACCGTCAGGAATGTAATGGATTAGCCATAAGAAGAAAACATAAATGCTGTCAGCTTCTCTGTAAGATAAGCTCGTCTTTAGATTCTGAGTTTCACTGGAGTTCATAGCATGTCCAGGTGCTTTTTTAATTAGTTGTTTGTAATTAGCTGTGGCTGCATGCTCCTGAAAGCAAGTCATCAGCAGGAGTCAAATACAGGACCTTCAGTACCAGATAGCGTTTGGGTGGTGGATAGTTATTATTGTTGGAGGAGGACTGCAGTCAGGGTGCTCGCCAGTCTCAGAAGCTCGCCCTGGCAGTGTGGACTTGGCATTGTGCCTGTTCTGCAGATGAGAAATCCAAGGTTATCAAGGGAACGATTCATCTGCAGTCTAGTCTGATGGGTTGTGGTTCATGTCTAGCCCCGCTGCCGAGAGGCAGCGCAGTCTCTCCTGGTCGCTGTAACTTCTCAGCCCGTCCTGGGGATGGTTGCTAGTGGTCCTGAAGCTGTGGGAGAGCTGGAATTGGCTCTGTGACCCGGAGGAGCCCCGGCATTGTAATGTAGCAATGTCCTTTATGGACCCAACTGCTTCTTTCCCATCTTAAAATTTTTCCCAGGTATAAGACTGGAAGTATAGAGGGAATAACTGCTTTCTGAGACACCAGAATTTGGAGGCGTAAGGAGGCTGAGGCTGTCTTAGATGCCACTTGTTGACAGAAAGGTACGCTCCTCAGTGCTGCTCTTTCCCCTCGTGACTCTCTAGATGTTCTCAAGCTGCAGCAAAAAATCCATCCATAGGACCATAGAGATCAAGGCCCAGGAGTGCTTCAGAGAGCGCAACAACAAAGTGTGTGGGAACTCCAGGGTGGATGAAGGGGAGGAATGCGATCCTGGCCTCTTGTACCAACAGGCTGACCCCTGCTGCTCTGCAGACTGTAAGCTGAAAGATGGTGCCAAATGCAGGTAAGGGGAAATAAGCTGCAGCTTCTCTTACACAGGGGAGAACAATGGGCTGGGCTGAAAGCTCCTAAAGCCATCTGCAGCATCACAGAGCTGGTCCCTGGCTTTAAGGCTAAACATGTGAACTGAAGACAATAAAGGATTCCAGGAAAGGCTGCTGTGTCCATGCACTTGTTTGAGTACGTTAATTTTTATAGCGTTGTTACTTATTTCTGAGAAGTGCCATGAGCTACGCACGTGAATACTATTATTATTATTAAGCAAACTCAGGCATTCATAAAATCAATATTAAAAAATTCCTGTGCAAACTTCCTGCGCAAATACAATTTTTGCTTGTATTGCAAGGTGGCTTTAAACTGGCATCACATGCTGATGTTGTCAAGATGGCTGCAAAATGTGTTTGAGCACACAGTGACTGCACTGAATGAGTCCTCTGTCTGTTGTTCTTGCTCTTTGGGGTGTTCGTGGCCCTGTTGCAATGCGGCATCTGGTCTGCTTTTTCAGAGTTCAGCTCTGCACCACGTGTCAGTGGAGAGCTCATGTGGCTCCTATTGTTTAGCAAGAAATTCCCTCAACTTTAATGACAGTGTTTGTACTAAGGGCCTTCTTGCATTAGATGCAGAACAAAGAAAATAAAGGGAGCACAGAATAAAGAGTAGTAAACCTTCAGGACAAACGGGGAATAAATGTGCGGGGAAGAAAACAGTGGATGGTCTTGTCCAAAGTTGCACAGCAAGTAACAAGGGGATCCAAGTGCCTCAAATAAATATAAAGATCCCTGTGTTGTCTCTCAGCATGTTGTACTTTCTACATGCTTTTACCTTTGGCAAATGAAGAGCGAGTGGCTGCGTAGAAAGGTGGTTGTGGGAGGGGGTAGAGAGGGCAAGGGTTTTTAATCAGTGAGTCAGTTTCCAAGAAGCAGCTTTTCTTTTTTTCCTAAACATTTTTTTCCCTTGCTTTATCATGCCTGTACTTCTTTTAAAAAAAAAAAAAAAAAAAAAAAAAATCTTAATATTCCTTCCTGTCATTTTGATCTTTCCAGTGATCGGAACAGCCCCTGCTGTAAAGGCTGCCAGTTTGAAAGTGCACAGAAGAAATGCCAAGAAGCCATAAATGCCACTTGTAAAGGAGAGTCTTTCTGCACGGGTAGGATGTATTTCTGTCCCCTTTACATCAGCTAGCCAAGCGCTCCAGGCTCAGTGTCCTGCTCGATCCGCTTTCAAACTAGTGCCCCTTATTCATCCGGTACATGTAATTTTAGAGACCAGTTTTTTTAACCAAATTGCCCTATAATGAGTTTCATTGTAGTTCAGGAGTCACTTGGTGATTTACTGCCCAGAAGAATATGAAAAATGTTGAGGTTTTTTGTTTTGGTTTTTTTTTTTTTTCCTTCCTCCTTTCTTTTCCTTAAAAAAAGAAAAAGCAAACTGGGGCGTGTCACTGGGAGGGGACAAGAATGAGCTGAATCTTGCCATAGAAAGGGTGGAATTACTGCAACTCTGCTTCACCTCCCCACTTGTGTACTCCCTCCTCAGCCTTTCTTGGAGGCAAGTCACAGCTCCTCCTGTGCCGATCCAGGGTCTGCTACGTGCTCCTTGGCTGCTGGAGTGCCGCGATGCCTATGTTTTTGAAAAGGCTGCTGCTGCCTCTCGGGGGAGCTGGCAGCCTGCAGATCAAAGTCAAGACCAAGCTATTGGGGTTCCCCCTGGGATGAGTCTGGATTTCCCTTACTGTCCTTCTTTCTTCTGCACGGTTAGGTGCTCTGCCCTTCACGCTAACAGAGTCCTCCCACCCTCTCGACTTCCTTCTGTAGGGAACAGCAGCGAGTGCCCCCCTCCAGGGAATGCCCCAGATGACACAGTCTGCGTGGACATGGGGAAGTGCAAGGACGGGGAATGCGTCCCTTTCTGTGAGAGGGAGAAGAACCTACGGTCGTGTGCGTGCAATGGTGGGTGACCTGGGATCGAACTGAAATGTGTGCTTCAGCTCTGCTCCTCGGAGGGCGCCGGCTTGCCTGTTGGAGGGCTGAGTTTATGGTTTCTGAAAAAGTTTAAACCATTGGTTTTTCAGGGCTAATGTTTTCTGTTTGGAAAACGAATGCAAATGTCCTCTTGTCCCCGGTGGCCTTGGTTTGAAGACATTAAAATGACACTTAGGGTCTGGCACCCCAGTTAGAGAGGGCACTCTCCCACCCTCCTCCTACACCACAGGCGGATGGGAGGGAAAGTCTGACTGTAAAGAGATCCCAGCCAACTTCTGGACCAGGCATCTGGCAGAGGAGTGGTAGCCTGCAACTAGTGGTTACAGAAAGATTTCGAAGAGGTTGAAGTGCCGTGAGAACAGGGGATCGCTGAGTGCAGTCCCCTGCTACTGCAAACCTGCCTGTCATACGCTTCTGTCCATAAGCTTTACTGTTCGCCTGAGCTCCGTCTCAGCCCTTAACTCTGGTCCAGCAGCTGGGGGCGGGAGGAACACGTCACGGGGCAGCGCGGGGAAGTGCTGCGAGCCCCACTGTCTGAGATGGAGGGCATAGCACAGGAGAAGAGTGCCCAGAGGATCCAAAGTCCAAGAAATATTTAAATCTGTGTCTTGAACATGTTTGGAACTTCTTTACCTGCCTGCTGATTCCTGCAGTGCTGGGGTATTAGCTTGGAGAGCTTGGTCCTGCTGTGTCCCCTGATACGTTGCACAGAGCATCTGGTTGAGTTTCAGGCTTGGCCATCAGCGTAAGCGGTGTTGGGCCGCTCGCAGAGTCCTGCCTGCCCCGTGGGGAGGCTGGGCAGGAACGTGGTCAGCCAGGGGACACGTGGGGTTATGCACCTGCGTGGTTCTGGGTTGCAGGTGACTCTTGGTGCTGCCGAGGAATGAGTTTGTTGCTTTATTACAGAAACGGATAATTCCTGCAAGGTGTGCTGCCGGGACGAGCAGGATAGGTGCATACCGTACGTCGATGCGAACGACCAGTTCCTGTTCCTGCGCAAAGGGAAGCCTTGCACTGTGGGCTTCTGCGACACAAATGTAAGTGTTCCCAGATGTCAGTGTGCTGCACGCTCTGCTTCTGTGGCTGGGTGTTTGCGTCCTCTGTGACGAGGACTGTGCTGGTGAAGAGAAGCCGAAGCTTGAGGCGGTGCTGAGCACCTCTCCGCAGGGTAAATATTAAAGGGTGTCTGAGGCTGTAGGTGGAAGTTAGTGCTGCAGAGACCTGTGCAAGGTGAAGCTGTTGCCTTCTGCCCCTTCTGCTTATTTTTACTTACTGCCCCTTTTGCTGCTCCCCACAGTTCAAACAGCCAGCAGTTTGTGCAAAGGAGGAGAGTGAGCGCTGCCGTAAGCTCAGCCAGGTTTGCAGTGCAAGCTATTTCAGCTGTTCACGTTAGCCCAGTTAATTTTGACTAAAATACTGCAGGTCAGGGAGCAATTGCCTGAAAATCTACTCTGGCAGTACCAGGGAGGCTGGCAGGGTGCTGGCACTCGGCAACCGCTTCCGTGGTACAGCTGCATGGACAGGGGTGTCACCTGCAGACCCCAACGGTTGAAGCTAAACTGGGTGTCACTGGGTGTCGACAGAGGTGAATTTGGGAAGGGTGTGCCCCAGCCCTTCCGCCAGCAGAACTGAAAGACTGATGATCTGCTGTGTTAAACCAGCACAGCCGGGTCTGGGAGTGAGTCTGTCTGCCTGTAACCTGGGGCTCCTGAGAGCTGCAGCATTCCCAGCGGGCAGTGGGAACCGAGGTTTCCAGTGCTTAAACCTCTCCAGTTTCGTGTCCCCTCACATGGGGCAAGGTTGGGGCGGTTTCTGCATGTTTCAAACGTTAGAACTTCATCTGTTTCAGACAGCAATAGAATGAAACTGTTTTGCCAAAAACAAAGGCAGTAAAAACTGACTCCTCCTACTTGGGGTGAGGGTAAACCTATATTCAGAACGTGAGGCAGGCGCTGCTGTGGCTGTAGCTGTTTTATTTCATTATAATCTTTGTATCCTCTTCCTTCTCCATCATACGCTGAGATAGCAAAAGATTATTTTGTAAATAAATGTTTGCTTTTGCAGGGTAAATGTGAGAAGCAAGTACAGGATGTGATTGAACGCTTTTGGGATTTCATAGACCAACTCAGCATCAATACTTTTGGTAAGAGATGTAACCATATCCTTTGGGGGTTTTTTAGTTCATGACATGAACCTCTCGAGCCTTGGAGGGAGTTAGCTGGCTGGGTTTTATGCAAGGTATTATGCAACCTGTATGCAAGGGTGGCTAGTAGCTGTGCTTCTGATACAGATGAATGTATGTTTGCCTAAAGTTCGACAGTACTGATCTTGCCAGTTTAAAGCTGAAAGGATGGGGGACCATTTTGCATTTTTCCACTCTGTTATTTTCTAGGCATCTTCTGGGCTTGTAAAGGAGATGATAGCTTCTTGTCTGAATACCAAGAAGTAGGTTGATGAGAGAAAAGTAAAAAACAGTCTTTGTAGAGGTCAGCTAGATTTGGCATAGGATAAAGTGGGCCTCTCGGGGGGGATTTAAGTGTTAGCAGAGAGAGGAAAACTTAATTTCTCTCTTATTTAAGAAAACAAGTGAGGTCACGCACCTCAAGCTGTGTGCCTGTACCGAGTCACTGCCCAGCAGCTGTGAGGGGGCTTGATCCCCACTGTGCAATCCAAGCAGGTGGTGTAGCCCCCCGCAGGGTTGCCCCCCAGCGTAGCCCCCCAGTCTGGCTCTGTATTACCACACAAAATCTGTTAACAAGCCAGCACTGTGTAATGACTGGGCAGCTCCACGTGCTCATGGTAATGCTGTGCCTACCCAGTGTAATTATCTGGGTTTGGGGCTTTCAATCGTGAGGTTTAGGGTCAAAAAATTGTTTCTTAGGTAATTGTTAAAGCTCTTCAGCCTGTTCGAGTAGAGGCAGTTTGTGTATCCTTGGTGTTCAAGTATTTCGTTTGTGGAGGCAGGTAGTTATCACTTGACTGTAGAATCAGAATTTGGGAACAGACTTCTGGTGCATCTTGTGTAGTTGAGAGGGGCAGCTTGGCCAGCTCAGTGTAGCCTGTTCCAAATCGGCCCACAATAAATGTTACGGCCTGTCAGCATTTCTCATCAGAGAAGAGGGAGAAACCCATTACTGTTAACTTCTCGGATACGCTTTTCTAAAATTGTGTAATTTCTTTTATCTTTGCCTCGTCCTGCAGCCTGTGCTTCTCAGAGCAGTTCCGTGGCTTGGCTTGCATGAGCAGTGGCTGCAGGAGGGGGAGGGATGTGTATATTCATGGAATGGTATTTGGTAGGTAACTAACAGATTTGAATGGATTTCACAGGGAAGTTCCTAGCGGATAATATAGTGGGCTCTGTGCTTGTCTTCTCCTTGCTTTTTTGGATTCCTCTCAGCATCCTCGTGCACTGCGTGGTGAGTAAGCTGTCTTTGAGATGACTGCTCTGTTAGGTGGAGCTGTAGGAGAACACCCTCTGCATGTGAAATGGCAGGTGTCTGTGGGAGAAAGTGATGGGAGGCTTTTGGCAATCCTCAGGGGGGGAATCCAGCGTGTGCGAGGCTTACTGCGCCTTCAGCTGGCAAAACTCCTGCTAAACTCTGCCGGGCTCTGGGAGACCCAGTGCTCCCGTGACCGTTCCCTGCAGCCCTTCCCATTCTTCCCTTGCCTCTGCCTCCTGAATTCTACCCAAATATAATCTTGGTAACTTCCACTAGAGTCAAAGTTTTTTTAAAGCCCTGCTAAGAAGTAAGACGCCTGCATTTTGTGGGGGGACCTGGAGGGGGAGGTGGTCCTGCTTGAGCTTAGCTGGATGGGTAAAGAGAGAGTGAGTTGATGGCAGCTGAGAGCGTGGGCACGTGGTGTGATGGTGACGGCAGTGTGGGGGTAGAGCAGAGGGCTGCTGCGCCCACGGGTGCTCCTGGGATGGATGGGAAGGCATGGGAGGTAGTGGAAGGGAGAACAGCCCCATGCCCTACTCTGTCCCTGCAGGGAAAAGGGGATAGGGACCCTGCAACTGGGAAACTGACTTTCTTATGTTGCATGTGTATGGTTTGGGTTGTTTTTGTTTGTTTTCCCATAGGACAAGAAACTGGACAAGCAGTACGAGGAGAACACAAAGTCCCTGTTTTGCCCGAGTGTAAGTTGCTGTCTCAGTATGAATGGGCAGAAAGCTATCCGCTGTGTATTAGAGAGTCAGAACCTATGGTGCATGCAGAGTATTTATCACAGCCATAACGGCCAGACCTGGAGCCCTGTGCCTCACGCTGCAGGTGGATGAATCAATTTGAGGGAAACTGTGTTGTATCGAACAAGCCTGTGGTTGATAAATCAAGCTCTGCAGCTTGGTGGGGTCTGGTCCTTCCTTCCTGTAGGAGCTGTGCTTTGGCCTTGTTGACAGAGCAGCTCTCTTGCAGCAGCTGCAGCTCCCGGGGCAGGAAGCCACCCTGCTCTGCGGAGCACCACGTGCCTCTGTACGGGGTCCCCTCGGCACGGGTCATCCAGCAGCTTCAACCACAGACCGCTTGTTCCCAGCCAAGCGGTGCTAACAAAGCATGAGGCTCAGCAGGGCGACGCTGCAGAAAAATCTCTGCAAAATGTGGTGTCTTTGCAGAGCGGTTGTTTGCAGGAGTCAGCTTCTAGTGGCCGGATGTGCTAAAGCCTTCCAGCTGCCCATGGGAGAGCTGGCCTCAGGGTGCAGGGACCTGTCGGTGCTGCTTCTCACCTTGCAGGTACTGGGTTGGGAGAGAAGAGCAAAAAGTGCCTGGGTAAATTTTAATTACAGTCCAGCACAGGGCACCTTCTGGCATAGATTTTCTGGGTGTCCTGTCCAGCGCTTTGACAGCCCAATTCTTTATTAATAACTGAAACATTAAATTAAGGAAATACCATTTTGTAATGGGAGGGAAAAAAAAAGCCTTGCAGAGCTCCCGTATGAGCACTGGGGGAAGCACGCTGAGGTGAAAGACCACTGAGGCAGCTTGCCTCCGTCATCTACTCTAACGTAACTGAAGGCGATCTGAGTTCAATTCCCCCATAGCTGGTCTGGAAAGCCCTAAGAAAAGTCACCGCAGGGCTTTATACCCGAATTCCATCAAGAGAATCCTGGAAGGAGGCGCAGCAGCAGAGCACGGGTATAGTTAACGGGCTGCTTGCACCAGCAACAGTTTAACAAACAAATCTTCTGTCTTTTGGATCTGCTGAGGATTGAGTGGTTGGGAAACGCAGTACTGGTTGCTGGTAAACATCTCATCCTGCCCAGTATTAGCATCTTCTAGGGTTCATGGGGATTTTTTTATCCCTGTAAATCTCTGGATATTTTCCAAATCGTGCTCAAAAGAAGAAATCAATGGGCTTTAACTTAGTCTGGGTTGCAGAGTTTGGGTGTGATCACAGTGGTCTCCCTCTGGCCTTTGACCCTGCGCTCAGTGCAGCTTCTTCCATGTGAAACAGGGAGCTCGTCAGGTTGGAAGATGGAATGAGCTGTACCTTTGTTTCCTTGCACTGAGCTCTCGGTCTCGTCTGGCTTGAGCCTGCATTTCCAGCCCTTGGTTTTCCTGAAGCAGTGTTGGGCTCCAGGGGAGGTGGGGTTCAGTTGTCAGCTCTGCCCCATTGAGGCTGTCACCCGTGGTGCGTTATATGGAGAAGCAGCAAGGTAGAAAGGCCTTTTTATCTCTGCTTTAGTGCTTAGCGTAGCTGGATTCTTCAGAAAAAAACAACAAATTACCCCTGTTGGGTGTTCTCTTGCTCTTAAGTAAGCGTAAATCTACTGTAAAATCCAAGATCTCCTTCCTTTTCCAGTGCAGTGCCGGGGGTTGTGCCTGGCTGGCATGGGGTGGCCTGGGGCAGCAGAAGGGCAGTCAGCACATCTCTGCTGGGGTGGTGGGGAGGACGCAGTGGCCTTTAAACAGCTTTAACAAGCGTGGGTGTGCTCCTCAGAAGGTGTCCCTTCCCCTTGAAAAGGGTGCAAAAACTGAACCCCAAACTGGATCCTGGGTGCTTCTCCCGCTGACCTGGCGGCTGGTCTCTTGCAGAACGTGGAGATGCTGAGCAGCCTGGACTCCGCCTCCGTTCGAATCATCAAGCCCTTCCCGGCGCCGCAGTCGACGAGCCGCCACCAGCCGCTGCAGCCCATCACAGCCGTGCCCGCCGCCACTGCGGCACCGAAACAGGACCACCAAAGGATGGACACTATTCAGGAGGACCCAAGCACTGACTCTCACATTGATGAGGACAGGTTTGAGAAGGACCCTTTCCCAAATAGCAGCTCGGCCGCCAAATCTTTTGAGGACTTGACAGACCATCCTGTCATTAGGAGTGAGAAAGCTTCGTCCTTTAAACTACAGCGCCAGAACCGTGTGGACAGCAAAGAAACAGAATGCTAGTGTCTTGCTGCCTTCTAAAATGTATGACTTCCATCTGCAAAATACGGATCTAAAACCATTTCATTTATATAAATATAAATATATGTATATATATTTTTGTGAGGGAGTGGGAGATATAAGGAAGTGACCTACTGCAGATGCTGGTCATGTGTATGACCTTCCTTAAATTACATTTATTAGAGCATTATATCTTTTAAAAAGGAAAATCCAAACTAGAACTGGCTTGTTTTTGAAGCTTTTTGGATTTGTTTTTCTATTTTCTTGACGTTTAACATTTCCTTCAACCTGTGGTGCAAAACCAAATATCCTGCAGGATATTGGATTGTGTGTATCAGCCTTTTTTATAACTTAATATTTTCTAGTCTGACAGCACTGATAGAGACAAAATTAAGGGGCTTTTAAAAACAAAAAGAAAACACTGCAGTACGTTCCGTATAGAGTAGATCATTTAAGGTACATGTAAGCAAAAGCCTAAACAGATGCCTCGAGAACAGAATGAAAGTAATGAAGCAGATAAAAATACAGTCTCGCAGCATTAAATGACAATGCATAATTGGAATCGAGAAGCTTAAGATGTACAGCTTCAAAATAACAACAAACGGGTCATCTGGAGGCTGTTAAACTTATACAATGTATGGAAATGCTCCTCTAGCATGAAACTGTTTTGCCTCTAGTGGCGAGGTTGTCTTGTCTTTGTGCCTCTGCTGCAGAGGGCTTTGGTTGGGCGCCTCCCACCCTGCACTGCGAGTGCCTGGCAGGGGAGAGAGGCGCAAGCGGAGAAGTCATTTATGTGGATGAGGACTGCTTCAAGACGCTGCTTACAGCAGTTGTTTCGGTACAGAGACGTTTCTCCAAATGTTATTTCGAAATCAGCAACACTATTGCTGAGATGTTCAGAGAGCCGAGCATCACTTTGCTGTGGTCTGTGTGGCCAACAACATTCACTCCATTGCAGGGGGGGCATTTGTTTAAAACCAATTGTGAATAAAAAAAAAACCAAAACAAAACCAAACAACAAACCTCTGTTAAACTTACAGGGCAGGTATAAAGAGGAGACTTGATGAATTCAAATTCCCACACAGGTAGTACAATGTGATGTTAGACGGTAATTTCATGGTGTCCTCTGAGCTGATAGAGCTGGAGATCTGTAAGGGGAGCTGGGAGGTGAGCGTTATTTTTGCTTAGTAGCAGCCAGACTGACACAGGGGAGTCGCAGAGCAACTGTCGTGATAGTAAAGCAGCATCGTAATTCTGCAACTGTTTTCTCCCATAATAATCTGTTGATAAAACTGACATAAAACCATTTTAACTGTTACAAGCCTGCGCTCAGGCACAGGGGAACCCTGCTGCTGCGGAAAGCCTCTGTGCTTTTAAACGTGAGGGAAAGGAACCAAACCTGTGCTGAAAGGATTGCGGGAATAACCCCCTCTCCACCCCACCCAGGGATTCTTGTTACACTAATACTTGAACGTGTGCCTTACGGTTTTCCTGGCTGACTAGCTATTGTGTTTTATATACTGGATTTGAACTTTTGGGGGTTTTTTTGTTTGGGTTTTCTTTTTTTGATTCAGTGCAAAGTACACGTGTGAGGAGTTGAGTTAATTTAATTCCCAATACAATAAAAGCTTTTTATATATAAAAAAAAAAATCAGTTAAGAGCTGTTCCTGTGCAGTCCTTCAGGAGTTAACAAAACCTGAGTTAAGTCTGGCCTGCAGCCAGAATTCAGGCAGTTCTGTCTCTGCTCCCCTCTGCCCCTTGGCTGCTGGAGGTCATTGTGCCTGCCTGCTGCAGCTGCACCCCCAGGGCTGCCCCACTCCCTCCTGGGGATTATCACAGAATCATGGAATTGTTTAGGTTGGAAAAGACCTTTAAGAGCATAGAGTCCAACCATTAATCCAACACTGCCAAGTGCACCACTAAACCATGTCCCCGAGTGCTGCATCCACACATCTTTTAAATACCTCCAGGGCTGAGGACTCGACCTCCCTGGGCAGCCTGTTCCAATGCTTGACAACCCTTTGGGAGATGACATTTTTCCTAATAGCCACTCTAGACCGCCCCTGGTACAACTTCAGGCTTGTTACGGGGGAGAAGAGACTGATACCTACCTCGCTACAGCCTCCTGTCAGGCAGTTGTAGAGGGTGATGAGGTCTCCCCTCAGCCTCCTCTTCTCCAGGCTGAACAGCCACACTTCCCTCAGCCACTCCTCAAAAGACTTGTGCTCCAGACCCCTCACCAGCTTTGCACCAGTCAGTTCTGACAGTGAAATTCATATCTAAGGTACAGGTGTGTGCTTAAATGCCGTTTTAGGTAGCAAATGTATGAGTAGGTGTTCTCAGCACTGAGGCTGTTAAAAAAACAGGTGGTGGCAGGCACTTGGGAGTGTGAAAACAGGTTTGGAGCAGGCCTTGGAAAGCACAGAATCCATCCCCCAATCTGAGCTGCGTTCCAGACTGTGAAATCTACTTGCACAGTTTGTTCACAACACCTAATGCAGGAAGAGCCATGGCTTCCATGGGGAGCCCCTTCCACTAGTTCAGCCGGTCTTCACTGTAATCATTTATTACAGAAAGGACAGCCCAGTTTAATACTCATAACTATTTATAAATCAAACTAGCTTCTGGTCTAGCTCCAGGTGCACACACAAAAAAAACCCCCAAAACCAAAACCTGCTTATGCTCGGGTTTATAACACTATTACCTAGTAGATAGATAGCAGGGCTTGGCCAACTTGTCTTAGTTACTCAGTGAAGGCTGACAAACAGGCCACTGTGCTGCTCTCATCACCTCTGCATAACAAATGCATCGCCTCACTCGGCCCCAGCTGGTTTGCGCCACCCTAACGGTCAGTACAGCCCAGAACTACGCAAGGGGTTTAGCTGCAGTGCTACACTATTTCTTTTTAATCCATGGTCCAGCAGGCACGCAAGGGGTTTAGCTGCAGTGCTACACTATTTATTTCTTTTTAATCCATGGTCCAGCAGGAGTCTCCTTTCTTCTGCTATCATCTGGCTGACTAACCAATTATTTCCCAAACCACTTTTTTTTTCCATGCTTGCTGAATTTCATTTAGGTTTCAGGCAATTTTTTTTTCAGTTTGTAAAGGTAGTTTTGTAGTGTAATTACATGCTCTTGGCCAAAAACTACGCATAGTACACAGTATTCATCTATGGTTACATCAGCTGTTAAATTATGAAGGCCAAAGCTCACTTGAAATGGCTCAACTTGGTGGCAAACTACATAGCTTTGTCAGCAGAGACACAGACCCCTTCTCTTAGTTTCTTCAAGCTCCAAGCTTCTCAAAAATGAGCACGTGCATCACCAGTTTCAGGTTGCCCAAAACCATGCACAGTTTTGAAATCTGTGTGTACACGCAAGAAGCTGCTGCTGGTGCCAAAGTAAGTTAAACTTCAAAGCCGCTGCTCTGAAATGTAACATAGCACTACCAAAAATCCTTGCTTAAGCTGAGGTAACTGCTTTTCCTGCTGTATTACAAGCAAATAAATTAATCTGGACCGATTAACAGCTCTTGACACACTCCATGCTGCTGCCTCATATTGGCTCCTAGGTGTTATTACTAGCAGGTGGTATTTATCAAGGTGTAGCCCCCAAAGCTCAGCTAGGCCAGGAACTCCTCAGGGCAGCCTTCTGTCCCTTGTCACAGGGCAGCTGAGACTCTTATTTTCCTCCAAATCTTGCAAGGAAAGAGGAGCTCATCCCCACAGATGCTCAAACTACCAGCACAAGCAGCGTGCAAACAAACCACCCCCTGACACACCCCGAGTGGTCTCATCTTTATTCTCCTGCAGGCCAAGGGAAGGGGATACAGAGGAGCATCGACAGGGGACTCCCCGCTGCCCCGCTCCCTAGCGTGTTGCTGGACACTGGCTGTTAGTAAGCCAGCTGGCTTTGTCAGGCTGGGCTGCTTCAGCTGGTTACTGCAGGGGATCTCCCAGAAGACTGGCCTCGGGGTTCGTATGGTCCACGTCACGCCAATACGGAAGCAGTGAAGGAAAAGGAGACAGTTTTTTTTCCAGGCATGACCAAAGTTGTGCTGCTAGAAAGCTGTTGCCTTTTGTTGATAAATGGAGCCCATCAGACAGATAGGAAGAGAAATCCTACAGGGGAGGTTAAAGCCATATATTAATGTATTTGCGAGTTGCAAATAGAAGGTCTTGAGTAATTTTTAAGTAAGTTTGTTCTTCAAAGCCAGCTGGTATATATACTGGTTTTATTTTTCACCATTTGTATTAAAATATTAAGAGAAAGTTCTGATCACCAAAGTCAGTGCTATTCATCAGGAAAAGACCATGAGGTTAAGTGATGCAGTCAAAATGTTGAGTCTACTGCACCCTGGAGCGCAGGAGAGAGAAAAGATTCGGTGTCTGAACTGGAGTTACCTGCTTACGGCAAGCCTGCAGTCTGTCACAAGGTCAGGTATTTGGTCAGAGGCACCAGGAGGTACCTGTGCAATCTGATCTAACTTCGAAGTTAGCCCAGCGCTGTGCGGGAGGGTGGACTAAGCGCCTGCAGAGGCCCCTTCCAACCTAAGCTATTCCATGACGCAAAGTCCACGGAAATGGTTATTTAGACGTAACGCCCCCAGGGGACACTGGCCAACCAAATACAACAGTCAGGTTGTGGTAAGCTTTATTTCTCCCAGCCCAGCATCAAGCATTCCAGATCACTCTTTTCGTTCCCCAAAATGTGATCGGAATATATTTGGTACCATGTCAGCGATAATGCAGCACTACAGGTTCCTCTACGCTAAACTGCGCATTTCACAATTCATGATAATTTCAAAGTCTTTCTCATGACATCATACCTGATCTTTTTGCATCAGCGTCCAGAGGTCGAGCACATCCGTTCCACAGTCCCTTGCTACCTGAACACAGGCCTGGGCATATTCCCCAGTGGTGGCATTGCGGCGATTTAATTTGTCACCTATCAGACACAAAGAAAACATTGAGCGATCGCGACTGACACAGTTTGATTTCTGTCTTCCGTGGCATGGGTGGTGCCTATCAGTTTGTTACACCAGCGGACATAACCAATTACCAACCAAATCTGAAGCACCTTCATTTAAGTGGCTGGCAGCTATAGCTCATTTAGTCTCTTTCAGGGCACCTCTTGGTTTTGAGGCATTTAAAAATATATTTCTTAACAGATGTGTAACAGGCGAGAGAGGCAACGGCAACGAGCACACAGCGTGACGGTTACTTCTGCGCTGCTCACAGCTTCTGCCTCTGTCAAGCTTGAGGTGAAATCAGTGCATAGGTTTAAAACTCTTCATGCACGTGCTACTAGCACACAGAATAAAGTTAAATAAAATCTATTTACAAGCCTGCCTTCCACGTCCTGGATGACATCAGACATTTAGCATCTCCTTACAGTAGTCTCCTCATCATAACGTGCTGGTGAAACTGGGGTACACTTAGGTGCAAAGCTTTACTAGCACTCGCGACTGCTGCATTTGTGCGCGGTTACACTGGGAGCTGGACTTTCAGTACGTGCTCAGTTCAGCCACTGGAAGCCAGGAGTTTTGCATGGACCACAGTGAAACTTTGGGGCAGGATATTATTCGTTTATGTTGTTTCTTGTTTCTTTTTAATGGGACCCATAATGCAATTCATCAACTCCTACTCTACTCCCTCCTTGCACCTGATGATTCCCGCTTCTTCACACTGCCACCTCTTTCCTCCTATCACTTCTTTTCATCGTAAGAATATCCTCTGCAGCCTCACCAGTCCTTCCCCACCATGGCATATTTCTGAACTCTTGCTTGAACTTCCTTCCTGGTTCAACTCTCCCACAGACGGAGCAGCCCTTCAGCTCATCCAGCCTCCACCATGCAGAGCTCCATTTGTTGCCAAGTTCCCTGTATTGACCACAACCTCACCTCCCCAGGCGAGGTCCTGCAGTCCTGCCCTTTTCTCTTTCTGTGACTTCTAATCTAGCAGAGTTGATAATTTCTTATTCTCCCTTTGCCTTTTCTTTCATCGTCAGGACTTCTCGACTGTTTCTTCTCCTCTTCCACTCTGGAAGCGCACAAGCACAGGCCTGCTCTCAGTGAGCAGCAGGAGCACGTGCTGGGTCTATAAGCTAAGAGCAGCAGCCAAAGGAACTCAGGAAATACAGGGATTCCCCTGAGGGACAAAGGAAGCAACCTAGTGATTTGCCCTGACCTCTGCATGTACCCACTCAGCTTGGGAAGGAGGCCAGCCAACCTTGGGGAGTAATGGGATAGGGGATACTCAGAGATGCCAGATGCATCTGGGCAGGTGGGACTTGCCTCAAGGAGCTGCCTGTTGCATTGCTGAGGCCAATGCCCACCACCTACAAAAATTCGCAGCTAATGGGAGACCCATGGCAACTGGAAGAAGGTTCACATTACACCCATTTTTAAGAAAGGTAAGAAAAAGGACCTGAGGAACCATCAATCACTCAGCTTCACCTCAGTGCTAGAAAAGATAGTTACCTCCTTTTGGGATTAATTTCCAAACACATGAAGGACAAGAAGCAGCCATCAGCACAAATTTAGGAAAGCCAGCTGACCAACCCAATTGCCTTCTGCAATGAAATGTCTATACAGATGACGAAGAGCAGCTCTGGCTTTGGCAACGGCTTTGACTCCATCTCCCACAGCACTCTCATTTGGAAGCTGACTTACTTTTTGCATCTCTCTTCACACCTGGATGAATGTTCCTGCACACATCATCATCCTCATGTTTCATCTCTCTCCTTTGCTCTGATATCTATCTGACAAAACTAGAAATAAGCAGAACATTTCTCCTGGATAATGGTTGAGGGCAGATGATCTGATATTGCTGCTTACTGTGCCCACAATACTCAATTTGTGGTCCACGGTCTGAGATCACCGTGTCTTCTGCTCCATCCCTAGACAGCAATCTCTTTTAGACAGACACTGGCAGATTCAACACTGTTAATGCAAGTTTCCTCCCTCCCCATAAAAGGATAGAATCATAGAATAGAATCATAGAATCACTTTGGTTGGAAAAGACCTTTGAGATCATCGAGTCCAACCTTTAACCTAACCTTTCCATCCCACCACTAAACCATGTCCCTAAGCTCCTCATCTATCCTTCTTTTAAATACCTCCAGGGATGAGGACTCAACCACCTCCCTGGGCAGCCCATTCCAGAGCCTGACAAGCCTTTCGGTGAAGAAGTTTTTCCTAATGTCTAGCCTAAACCTGCCCTGGCGCAGCTTCAAACCCTTCCCCCTTGTCCTACCATCTGTTACCAGGGAGAAGAGGCCAACCCCCACCTCACTACAGCCTCCTGTCAGGCAGTTGTAGAGGGTGATCAGGTCTCCGCTCAGCCTCCTCTTCTCCAGACTAAATAACCCCAGTTCCCTCAGCCGCTCCTCGTATGACTTGTGTTCCAGACCCCTCACCAGCTTGGTTGCTCTCCTCTGGACATGCTCCAGCAATGCAACATCTTTCTTGTAGTGAGGGGCAAGTAGCCTTAAGACGAAAATGAACTAACAGCATTTTAAAAGTGTTACTCGATAGCTAGGAGCCAGACGAGCAGCATTCACGGTGTGCTCACCTAACAGATCTTCAAAAGGACAATACGGGTGCGTGTTTTGCAAACCGCAGCTGTAGCAGCTTTAGTGAGAGCTGGGCCCAGACACCTGGAGACTGACCACACTCTGCGCCTGACCTAGCCCTTACGCCCTGCCCAAGGATCTGCTACTGTCACATACACGGTACTGGCCGTGTCTGATGTGTGATCTGACCTGCTCAGCTGCTACTGTCTTACACAGTTTGTGAGTATTCCTCTAGGACTTACTCTCCTTTTCCAACTGAAATATAAAAACCACCCTGCTGGATGAGACCAAAAGCCCATGTAGTCCAAAATCTGCTTTGCACAGTGACACTGCCACACACGAAAGATCCCTAATGGGAAGTCATCCAATAACATAGTCCAATTTAATGCAGTTTTAAAGATGAGGCCATCTTCAAAATGTTACGTCTTTGATCAAGTACACAGCTCAGGATACACAGTAACACCTGAATTTGAGAAAACCTTGCAAAGACTAAGGTGACAGCTTTGTGTTTACTTGAATCTAACTCAAAAGTCCTTTATAAATGTGCCAGAACTGGACAAGCTATCCAAACGGAAGAGAGGACACGCTCTCAGGAAGTACAGACTGTCACTGCTGGAGTCCGTGGGATTATGGCAATTTCCACCAGCTGAGTAACGCTAAGTAAGCAGTGCTTTTCCGCCTCTATTTTTAGAGTTAGCTTGAACAATGTAATGAGAAATCATTTAATCACCTTTTGCTTCTTTTTCAGATACTTTTATTAGCATCCTTAGAATATTATATTCTCCTGGGGTTTTTTAAATTTAAAATAAACCTGGCTAGGATCTTACTGCTTATCCAAATAGATGTGAAACATGCTGTGACTATTTTAAAATTTTCTAAGGCACACAATGCCAAAACTTCTTCTGTTATTTGTGTTATTTTGGAAGCTGCTAGGACATGACGTAGTCTGTGTAGGACATCTCGGCAAAACCTATGCTCTCAAAGGGCAGCCACTTCTGTCAGTTTTATGCACGAACAGATCAATCAACACTTTCAAAAGGGTGTTACTAATTAGTTGGTAGATACTCCACAAGCTTATCCAAAAGCGGTTTAGCAGAACAGCTAGCAGTCCTTTTCCATCAGCTCAAAGAACACAACTGCAATCTGGTACAAGCACGAAGCTAATCACCTGTCAGGCTGGGATCAGCAACTTATGCTCTGCCAGTAAAAGGCAGAAATTCTGCCCATCCACACAATTCTTTTACCTTTGGCAAGACACTCCTTTTCCCAAGCCGATTCCTGAAGAGGTGGTGGCGTTATCAGAACAATCCTGTCTTCAGTGATGTCTACCGACTTCAGATACTGTATCATGCTCTTTAAGTTTGCAGCATATTCTTCCAAAGGAACGTGTTGCTTGGGGTTCAGATCTGTTAGGGGATGGAGTACGTGCATTAGCGATGCTAAACTGCTTACGGGTTTATTACACAACATAACGTGCTTTTTACAGTGTATGAATGCGGGCACTCATTTTCAGTAAGCAGTTCACCTCAACCACTGAGGCAGGAGGTGTCATGAGAAAACACTATTCCTCAATATCCAAAGCAGACAAATTGAGAGTTTAAACACAGCACTTCCAACTAATACAAACGAGGGACAGGGGAAAAGAAATCACCTTTTTTTTTCCTTTTTCAAAGATGCTTTGTCTTGCAACTCCACATCTTAGTATTAGTTCACATAATCACCTCAAACTTCACCTGAAACAAAAGCTAAGATTTTTCACTCTCTTGGATGCAGAGAAAAGTTTCAAAATTCCAGTGGACGTACAGACAGCCCTTTGTGCACTGAGGTTATCATTTTTGATTAGACTAGCTCTGCATGCTGCTATGCTTATCTTAAAGAGAATCCAAATGTGACCTTCCCTCATTTCCTCAACTCAGTTGCCAAGAACCCATCAGACTGCTTCAAAGGCAGAAAAATCAGCTAGATGCCTTACTCCAATTTGAGGTAAGGTTTATTGAGCACCTTTGAGCACCTTGAGCATCTTTAAATTTACTTTTAATATTAAAACTTGGTGAGAGGGAGAGAAATAGAAGGCACTGCATGGTTTAAATACAAATAAAATGATTGAAAACAATCCACTGTAAATATGCAAAAAAGACAACTGCTTCACAGAGAAGTGACAGGAAAAGTCTGTGGAATGTTCTGCCTTTTCTGCTAAACTGTAAAACTGTCTTAAGAGAACAGGTCATGGGAAAAAAACCCAAAACAATCTACTGTACCTTTCAAAGCACTGTCATTGGCTCCAAAGAAAATAGTAACTGCAACAGTACTCTCAGCACCAGTACTTTTGCTGATCAGTCTTGGAAGGATCAATTTAGCCCACCTGGTGTTGTACCCTGAGAGCCCACGGTTCACAACATCACATTTTCTGAAACAAAGACAAAGATCAAAAAAGAACATCTCTCCTCCGCCCACCAGAATAAAACTTGGGAAGTTTTGAACCATTCTGTCAGGATACCTGCCTCCGTCCCTCTCAGAAATGACGAGATGTTTTCAGTGGGATTATAACTTTATGTTTTGAAAGTACACCCACAGATTGCATCTGTAGTATTTACTGGTCGCTTAAACTATGAAACCTGAACAACAACAATCATGACAATCACTATGCATTTTTTCCTCTCCACTCAAGCTCTCAGTGGAAAAAAACACCCAGTGAGTATTTCCACCAGTACTGGGCAGGTTACCACTCAGGCAGTTCCACTTCAATGAATAAATGAATGTTAATAAATAAATACACATTACATATTAACTTGTGTTGGTTTTCCTTTAGGAAAGCCACACGACTTCTTGCATGCTAAAACTACTTTTGAAATTTAAGCTCATACCTGACCAGCCTCTCAGCAAGGGATGCCCCCCAGCCATTTTCCTGGAAGGAAAACTGAAAACAAGGAACACTGTTAGACTCTCACTGGAAGAACTTGCTCTCCAGCACGTCATGTCCCACCACCAGCACCTTCCCTCCTCAAAAGCTTTTCATGCATGGCCTCTCGCGCTGCTGCAACAGCACTTCCCTCCCAGCCTGCCCTGTCCCTGCAGAGGTCAAACAGCCCTGGTCTTACCCAGACACACGACTGGCATCAGAGGCAACGTGGGACCACACCTACAGAGGGATGGACCCTGCGGTCCCTTTGTAATCAAAACTGACTGCCGCATGTTATGGCTCATGAGGCTTTTTTATTTTATTTTCTACTTTATTTCTAAATTTATTTCACTGTGCCTTCATTCTGGAGAGCACCTCTCTCCCCCTTCTCCTTATTCCCACCGCTGCGTTATCCTCCCTGTTCCAATGCTCCGCCTGTCTACAGAGCTGCATGGTGGGTTGGTTTAGACAACCGATCTCCCATTAAAGATAACCTTCGTCTCTGGCCAAATCTTTTTTCATCAGAGCAGCTCTGGGACCCACTTCACCATGCGACAGAAGGCAGGGACCCAAAATGAACTCTAAAAGGCTGGTACTGCCTCAAAGGAGATGTTCACCAAGGCATGGCCCAGCCATGGCGAAGCAGAACGTGCGTCCGGGGTGGGAGAGCTCGATGCAAGGAGCTGCACAGAAGGGACGCACCAGGAGCCGGGTCGGGGCAGACATCAAAAATGCCACTGCCGCCAAAATACGAGAAGCTATGCTTCTACCAGATCACACTTCTAACACAGGAACTTTACGAATTTCTGCCAAAAGGCTCCAAATCTCATAAAAGACCATCAGGCGCCGAAGCTCCTGGTACACTCCCGTGGGAGGTGCGACAGGGACGTAACCGCGCCGGGCCGCGCTCCCGTTTCACCGGCCTCCTGCCCGCCCCACGGTGCCCGGCCCG